AGGAGAAGGGGGGGAGAAGGAGGGCGACGAAGAGGAAAGGAGAAGGAGAGATGAATGAGAAAAGGGGAAGAGTAGGAGAGACGAGGGGGAGAAGTAGGGCGCCGAAGAGTGGTGGAGGAGGGTGAAGAGGGGGACGGAGGAGGAGGGGGAAGAGGACCAAGATTTGCTAGGGGTGGTGGTTCTCGTGTAAATGAGAAAAGGGGGAGAATAGGAGAGGGGGGGGAGGAGGAGGGTGGCGAGAGGGGAGGAGGTGGTAGAGCTTTTCGTGTAATGAGAAAAAGGGGAGAGTAGGAGAGGAGGGGGAGGTGGTGGAGGGGGGAGGCGGTGGTAGAGGTGGTACTCGTGTAGGCAAGGCTGGGTAGTGGGGGAGTACACCCTTGAGGAAATTTTGAGTTTTTGGCACGTGGGATTATCGTCAAACGGATGCCTAGCTCCTCCCCTGGAATAGAACGCGCGGTCGTTATCGCTGTATTTGGGCCAACTTTCAGTCTCGATACAGCGATAATCGATAATTAAAGACCGTCCGTTCTATTCGGCAGCAAATGTAGTTCAATCAAATTTCCCAAGTCATGCTTTGTTGCACTCATTTCAACGATTCCAGTATTTTCGCTGACCTGATTTTTTCTTCTTTGTTTCTTCCATGACCTGAACGGCTGACTCAAGGGCTTCATTTGACGGTTAATTACAGTAATTAGTCCAGTTGGATTTAACTGGATAGACTGGATCCACGTGGTGGGATGTAAATGCCACGTGGCGACGACAGACGACACTCCCTGCACTACCGTCTTCTTCCCCCGAACATAACGCACCCTCGTTATGGACGTATACAAGCTAGATTTCCGGTCCGATATAGTGAAGATGGGGATGCGTAAAAAAAAAAAAAAGGGGATGCGTTATGTTCGGGGAAGACGGTAGGCGACTCCAATCGCGCCAAGTGGCGAATGAATCCACGTCGCATCCATTGGATACCATCCTCCCCCGAATACAACGGCTGGTGATTATAGTTGCATGTAGGGCGACTTTCTGTCTAGATACAGTGATAATCCATATATGTATAAAGGCCTGCCCGCTGACCCGTCGGGTAGAGAGGCCTGTCCACTGACCTAACGACTCGATTGATTCGATCGCCCAACTTAATGATATCCATAGACGTATATACATATATATATTCATTTGTATAGATGTATATTTTTGTGCATATATAATATATACATACTCATCTGGTGTGGGTGAGTGATAGTCTGCTTTGATTTTCGTCACCGGTAGCTTGTGTGCAGTGGTTGGTGGTCCCCACTTCCTCAGAGGACTATCAGTTAGTTATCTGGCAGTCGTTGATGCTTAACCGCTTGAGACGCTGAAACTTCAACGGAACTCTCCGTCGTCTTTGCCTCTCGGTTGTTGTTCTCTCTTCTCCCTCCCTCTCTAACGACGGTTTACTGGGCACTCTGTCTCAGCCCCTCGTTTGCTTAACCGCCACTTCCGACGGAACACTCTGTCGTAGCGCCCAGTTGCTTGTCCTTCTTTCTCTCCCCTTCTGCCCGGGCTTCACCGAGCAGAGCAGAGCAGTTGTCTATGAAGAGAGATAAATGGATGGTGGTAATCAAAAGGCAGCGAGTCCCCTCCTTATTTCTAGTTTTGGGCAGTGCAGGAAGCAATGTAGGGGTGTTTAAGGGTTCCATGGGGTTTTCGAGGGTGCAATTATCTTCCGATCTCTACACCTGGGCAGGGAGCAATGTAGGGGTGTTAAAGTGTTCAAGGGGTGTTCGAGGGTCCCCCCCCACCCTCTTCCTTAATTAGCCCTCCAGTACTCAAGGGTCTACATGAAAAAAATCGAACGGATGATCATGCTCCGGTCAAATCTATTGTCAGGGGGCAGAAGGAAGGAGAGGGGGTGTCTGAGGGAGTGCCGTTTTTTCCCCCGGCGTTTGTGTTCTGGAGGGAACTGAGGAGACGACAGGGTAGGTAGTTTGCCCTTTCTTTTTTTTTCTTTTTTTTCCTACCCTTCTTTTTGCCTTTCAAGGTATGTATGTACGTATGTAGTATGTATGAATGAATCCCTTATAAGCCGTCGGGGTAGCATTTTTCTTGGCGCGGCCCTGTGAGATTGCCTTGTTGCCCCGAAGACGCGCCCGTCACTATAGGTGTATTTAGTGCAATCTTGAGGCCAGATACGGTGTATCTAAGAATGACTGGGTTGGTGTGTGAGGCTGTTAGCTCGTGGGTTGTTGATGAGAATCGACCAGATTCAATGGACGTAAGCGCGCCCCCGCGCGGGCGGGGAAAGGGCAGGGCTGGGATCTCGGCGCTGCGGGTGGTTAATTAACGAACATCGACCAGGTTCGTTGAATATAAGCGAGAGCGCTAGATAATGCTTGGACAGTTTTTTTTGGGTTTTGGACGATGGTTGGCTTGTGGGTTGTTGACGAACATCGACCAGATTCATTGAACGAGAGCGCGAGCTAAACAATTTTTCAAGGAGCGGTTTGGTGGCTATGTCCGCCGCTGCTGATAGATACTGTACATCGCGCGAGTCTCAGGGCACAACTCACATCTGGAGTTTCCTAGGATGTATCTGACCGAAATTGAAGGCCGTAACATGGAGTCCAAGCGGCTTGGACGGTTGGCTTTTTTTTTCTCCTTGTTTTTTTTTTTGTTCCTGTTGTGGTTTGGCGATTTCCGTCTTTTGTGTGGCCTACGCTCAATTGATTTGATTTTATTGAATAATTGAAAAAAAAATCTCAATTTGACGTGGCTTTTTTAACAATTTATTTTTTTAATAATAATAAAAGAACAACGAAAACGTGGTTAACGAACACGTGTTGTGTTATTATAAAACGTAGCAACTTGTCAGAAATTGATCTTAAAAAAAGAAAAAAAAAAAAACCTTTGCCGTCAAGGCTAACGTCTTGAGATAATGCTTTTACTATTTTTTATTTTTAGCACCCAAAAATAGGATAATGCCTTTTTTTTTTTTTTTAAGCACCAAAAAATAGGAGGCCGAAGGTCTTGGGATATTGCTTTTCATCCTCGAGGGTAACGTGGCGCAATAAGAGAAGGAAGTTATTGAGCTCGTGGCTGTGACT